AATATATGCATATTGATACATAAGTGCAACATGCATATATATATATCATGGATGCTTGCTATCCTGACCGTTATCAGGAGGATTTTCGAAGTATTGAATATCGTGTAACTATGTAGGACTTGCGACGTTCCTATAAATTAAAAAGTCATATGACTGTTCAAGGATGTTGGACGAAAAACATATATTCTTCTGTACTTCATAAATGAACTGATTTTCCAAACGAACCCTTGAACAAGGTGTTTGTTCTGAAGATATATGTCTAAATACTGTGTCTATAATACAATGTATTTTTCCTACGTACAATCACGTGATCGACTCAAAGCGACAATATCACGGTTTTCGTAGAGAACAGTCTGCAAATTTACAGTCGCCCGGTATATGGCAGTGGAACACAATATGAGACCTGTGTACAGTCGCCTGCGCTATATGTCAATTGTGTGTAGGTAGTTCACTATTCCTCGCGAATGACGGCCAAAGATCAAATCATCAGTCTTGGCGTCCAGGACATTCTATTGCCGGTTGACTAACATGTGATTTATATGTCATCTTTGCAGTTGTGTACCTGCTAACCTCAGGTCACTCGCGTTGTGATGATCGCAAATAGAATAGATCATAGCCTTCTAAATTATACAAATAGATTTACATTGTTTATAACCTTGCAAGAGGTAAATAAGTATGTAGCAGATCTGACTCTTTGCCAAAGCGGCGTCAAGAGTGTGGGAATCGAACTGTAAGCAGACATAGCCTCCTAAATTGAACACAACAGGTGTTAAAAATTAAAATATGACAGACAGGGGCTGTAATTTTCAGAATTTTAGCAAGGCAAGTAAAATTAAAATATATATTGGAAAAAAAATGAGGTCGTTTTTAAAAAATTATATTCCACTGTTCCCTTTTATCGGATGGTAGCGATAAGGCGCATTTCTGATGAATCTATTGGAGCAGATATTCAAAACTGCTCGCACGAGCAACCAAAATGGGTTACATTTTTTGAGGAAATGTAAATAAGAAGAAATATTAACATATATGAAACATTGAAATACGTCGTCGCACAGGGATGGCGACTTGGCGAGGCTTTATGAAAATGTATTTATTCAGTATAGTTTTAGGCAACGGGTAAACAACTATACCTGTGTATAGGCAAATAGAAGACATCGAGTGATGCAGAGCAATAAGTAGCAATAAAAGATTACTCGCGCACGAAAAATATGTAGCAAACTGTTAAAATTGCTCATATTTATTTTTATATTTTATAGCAGTGACATTTTGGTAGTGACAAACTGGAAACCGAAAAGCGAAGTTATTGTATGAATAAATAGTATTATTATTGGTGGTACGTTTCATAATATAGAGATTTGTAACTAACCCTCGCACATATTATTTAATCTTCATCGGAAACTTATTCATATGTTCAAAAATTAGAAATATTATTCCAAATTAAGCTAACACTGGACAGGGAAATAGGCAAAGCGCCAGCTAAAAGTAGACAGTATTCAACAGTGCATATGCTTACTAAAGTCGGGTCATATCGATATTTACCCAAACAATCACCTTCCCCTATACTAATACGAAAATCGGAAACGGATTGTCTCAACAATTCAGCTTTAGTCCCCATCAACCAATCCACCACATCTCATCACCATGGCAAAATACTTGCACATGAGATGTCCCACGCCGACCTCGATACACAGCAACAGCCACGGCAACACACCCTCGAGAAAAGCTCCATTCACACCTGGGATAGGTGACGAGACGAACGAAACCACAAGAAATACGGAAGCGATAGTACACAAAAAGAGCGTCAGCCACAAACGCAATGAATCACTGAGCGACCGCAAAGATGTACTGAAGATCTCGAAATGCGGCTCAACCACACCACAGAGGAAGAAGAGTGTCAAGGGCCGCATCAGTTCGGCGGTGCGAGTATGTTTCTCATTGAATCTTGTTTATGTATAATATGAAGTGTGTTCTATATACATATTGCAGCATACAAATATATGCAGTAGACGTAATCATCATATAAAGGTAGAGTACAAGCAGTGTTATATATACATAATAGACCTTCCGAATATACTCAACAGACTTATGTACTTTTGACACACGCGTATATCACAAACAAATATTGATTTGGTGATGGTACTCATAATATGCGATTGCAATGGATGAATCGCGTGTGTGACCAATGAGCCTCTGTATATATTAGTGACAACTGTTCAGAGTTAATGTGTGCAATTGAAGTTCAACCATTATGGAGAACTTCAATGTTTTCGTAATGAAAAAGCAGCCGGCAAGAAAAATACATTCACCACACGTCACAGAGCACATTTCAATGTATTTATGCACTTTACGGTCAAGTATATTGCGGTTGTATGTACTCGTTTGTAGGACTTTAGACGCAGTTGTTCACAGTATCTTGAGACTAATTACTTTTACCTCACACCACTTTACAGTAAACTAATTTATACAAGTGAAACATAAACCAGCAAATATATATG